GACTCAAGAATCGCCCGTCTGTAATGAGGATCCGCAAGCTGACGGCATCGTCAGCGCCAGTGACACAGCTTCGCCTGCCGTGGCCAACCTCGCATTGCAGGCACAGGCACTGGAGGGCAACGATGCAGCCACCGTCGAGCGCGTCGTAGTCCATCCAGAGCCGTCCACCGACAAGCTCGCGCTGGACGCTGAGGCCGGAGACGTTCAAGACCCGGATCACCTCGTCACGGATAGCCGGCGGCGCAGTCTACTGCGTGCGTCGTACCACACGGCGCTATGGAGCCAGGAGGATGCGGCGACGTCGTCGTGCTCGATCGTCGACTCTCCTCTCCCCGCAGGCAGCTCTGCGGAAGACAGCGGGCTCACTGCACAGAGCGCCGACGAGGGCAGCGCCGACGAGGGCGCGAGTGTTAGCGGCACTGACGAAGACGGCGATGCTGTGCAGCGGTCCGAAGCCGCCGATGCGGAGCGGCAGGAGCGCAAGCAGGCTGCAGCCGAGTCGCGCCGGGTGCGATCCAAGTCCAAGCATCTGGCGGCGCGGCTGACGCTGCGCAAGCTCGAGTCAGCGTCCAAGCTGCAGACGATCCCCACTCGCAGCACAAGCAAGACGGGCAGCAGCCTGGTCGCGGTTGCCACTCAAGGTGCGCGCAGCTCGGATGCGAGTCCGCTCGCAAGGCTCGAGTCGCTCGCCACTCCGCCGCTCTCGCGACGCGCGAGCTGCGAAGTCGGCGCCACACCTCCGCCGGAGGCACCAGCGGGACAGGGCTTCGACGAGAGCAGAGTAGCCGCCGAGGAGCGGACCGAACAGCGAGGAGGAGGAGGCAGAGGCGGGCGTTATCGAGGCGTGGTGGCGGTAGTCGAGCTGGAAGAGGAAGCGGCGGGTACGTTCCACGACTTTCTGTTCCACATCTATCCGCACCTGGACCTGGCGGTGACTTGGTGGAACTGCGGGCCGCTGTTGCGGTTTGCAGACAAATTCCAGGTGCCGTACCTTCGACGGAGCTGCGTCAACTTTCTGCGAGCCGCACTTGCAGGACGACCGATCGAGGCGATGCGGCTGGCGGAGCTGCACGGTATGGACGATCTGTACAAGGAAGCCAGTCGACACGTTTTGGACAACTTTGCAGCATGGGAGGTGGAAGAGCTCGAGTGTCTGTCGAAAGAGACGCTGCTCAAGTTGGAGCGCAAGCGCACGTGGTTCTTGGAGCGGTTGCTCAAGCTCGGGCTGGCCAATCCTGCACGCGACTACGAGTGCCATGCGAGCTGTGCGGACCCACAGACGTGTGCGCGGCTGCTGCACGACAAGTGGCAGTCGGCGTATGCAAACGCCTTCCGCTTCTCACCGCCCCAACCCAGCGTCATCTTTCGCCATCTGAGGGAACTCGACAATGCATCGGTACTGCACATGAGCGCATGTCAGAGCGCAGCACGGTCGTGGGTCCAGGGCCTCTTTGACCGCATGTTCTCCCTAGGCACCCTCCATACGCCGCGCCAGTTTCTCGCCATCAAACTCGAACCTCCCACCAAGACCCCGCACACCCTGTAGCACACCAGCATCATCGCCTTGGCATGGCAAACAACAATCCGCATTCAGCATTGGCTTGGTATCATGATACTTCGCACGATGCACTAGGAAGATTGGTCCGAGAGCGGTGTTTTGGGCTTGACGTATCGGAACGACGGACGGCCGAGGAAGCGGAGAAGCACGTAGCCGATGGAGAGAAAGACCACCGCGATCGCACCGAGGAAGCCAGCATTTTCGGCGATGGTGAAGCGTTCGAGGTCGTACTGGTTGAGCACGTCCTGACCCGACCTGTAGCACTGTTGCGAGTCGGCCGAGCACTCAAAGTTGAGGCCACGGAACTCGTTCTGCGCCAGAGCCGAGTAAGTGTAGGTGATGGGCGAGAGCCAATGCAACCAAATAAACCAGGGTGGGATCGAGGACAGTGGCAACAAATTACCGCCAAAGAGGAGGAAGACGACATTAATGACGGGCGCAAAGATGTTGGCCAGCTCGATCGACGACGCGCCACATCCGATCACGAGTCCGAGCCCGATGGCCGTGCCCACCTGGAGCACGTTGATGGCGAGCCAGATGAAGAAGGCACCTGCCGTCTGACGCAGACCGACCATCCAGTAGACTACGGCGTAAAAGAGGATGCGCTGTAAGAGCTGGTTGGGCACCTCGGTCACGATCTTGCCCAGGTAGAACGACGAGATGCGGTACGTGCCCGCGGAGCGCTCGCGCAGCATAATGTTGCGCTGCAGCGGAAAGATGGCGAGAATGGGGAAAAGCACCGCAAACGACGCATTGACGGGAACGATAAAGAGCGCGCCGATACGAGCCAGGGCGCCGCCCTGGTCGAGGTTGAGCCGGAAGAAGGCAAAGCCGATGATGATGAGCAGGACGATGTTCTGGCCGAACGAGGCAAAGACGATGGTGGGGTCCTTGACGATGAGCATGGCGTTGCGGTGGGTGAGCACGGCGAGCTCGTGCCACCACGAGTTGGGCCACGAGCCGGCCACCTCGTTGGCGTCGCTGCTCTTGGGCACGATGCGCGACATGGTGCGTCCCAGTGCCGGCGCCGACACCTGCGCATCATCCTCGGCGAGCTTATCGGCATTGCTGGCGAGGAAGGCGTCTCCGCCCGTGCGCCAGGACGAGAGCAGTGCGCGCACGCGATTCTCGGCATCGTTGGTCTTTTCGTAGTTCTCGGCAATGGTGATGTAAAAGTCGGCCGGATTGACGCCTTCGGGCGGCGAGTGGCCCAGCGATGCGAACCACGCCGGCGCGGCGGTGGGCGGGCCCGAGTAGTACGTCTGTCCGCGCGTGAGGAGGATGACGCGGTCAAAGTGCTTAAAGATGTTCCACGACGGCTGGTGGATGGTCATGAGCGTATACAGGTCTCGCTCGCGCGTGATCTCCTTCAAGTTCTTGACGAGGTTGAGCGCCGCAAACGCATCCAGGCCCGACGTGGGCTCGTCGAGCAGCAGCACGCTGACGTCTGCTACGAGCTCGGTGCCTACGGCGACGCGCTTGCGCTCTCCGCCCGACACGCCGCGCTGGTTGGGCCCGCCGATGCGCGTGTCGGCACACTTTTCGAGACGCAGCATGGCGATGCTGTCCTGGACGCGCTGGCGACGCTCTTGCTTCGAGTAGAGACGCTTGGGCAGGCGCAGGTCCGCCGAGTACTGCAGTGTCTCGGTGACGGTGAGTGCGCCGAACATGAGGTCGTCCTGCTCGACAAAGCCGGTGAGCCGCTTCCAGGTGGCGGGATCGCGCGGCTTGGCCTGGTAGAGCACCTCGCCCGCGATCTCGGACGACTTGTCGAGGCGCGCCGACAGCACCGAGAGGAGCGACGTCTTGCCTGCGCCCGAGGCGCCGAGGATGGCGACCATCTCGCCGCGCTTGACGTGGCCGCTGACGCCGTTGAGCACGCGACGGCGCATGGGGTCGAGCGGCGGAAGGTGTGGGAATACGTCCTGCTGCTCCGCCAGCTGCACCTCGTCCGACTCGGCGGGGGAGAAGGAGCCGTTCTCTGCCTCGAGCGCCTTCTCGTTCTCGGAGGCCTTTTCGACAGGCGCGGCGGCTGTGCCGTGCTTCTTGATGTGCTTGCGACGCGCCTTGGAGAGGAGCACATCGTAGGTGATGTCGCGCCAGGAGAAAACGTCCTGGCCGGCGGGAACTGATGTGTGGCTGGGGCCCGGGCGAGACGAAGAGGGAGATGCCTCGTTGACCGAGTTGGGAGCTGGCGTGGAGAGCGACGATGCGGAGCGCATATTGTGGGTTGCGCCCAGGGTGGATGGAGACGAGACCACGCCTGTCAGTGGCTGTGTTGCGGCCGCCATGGTGTGGGTGTGGGTGTGGGTGTGGGTGTG